GAAGTCCTTCCAGAGCTTGTTTTATTTCTGTATTCTCCTTCCTTAGTTCTTGCATATTTCTCTGCAAGTCCATCAGCATGGTTATGACTTTTGTTTTGAATTCTTTTTCAGGAAGACTGGTTAAATCTATTTCCCCAGGTTCCTTCTCAGGGGAAGATGTAGCAGATGCCAAAGCTGTCTGGGTTAGTCTTGTCTGGATCATATTTTTTTGCCTTTTCATGTTGATAGGTGCTATTGACAGCTGGGAATGCCAAACTTTTCACTTGCTACTGGCCTTTCTTTACTGGGACAACTGCGACCCCTAGTGGCTTGTGTTTGGTAATTGCGTGTAGATTGGGTCTTTGTGTCTTGCGGGGCTGGTATGGAGGAAGCGCTCCAGAGGGGTAGTGGACGGGGGGTGCTGTTTGGCTGTTTACCTCTGTGAGGGGTCTCAGAACTGTTGCCCAGGGGGTTAGTGAGCCTGGTTTTCCCTGTAATTTCCAGCAACCAGGCTGTGACCTATGTTGTTTCCGTCCAGCTGTTACGTCCCTGTCCCTTTAAGTCTTTCAAAAAGCACTTGCTTTTCTTTGTCACAGGGGCATCAGCTTCGGAACCCGCTCAGAGGTCTTGCTGCCCTGTTTCCCTAGTTTCCAGCCCTCCACGCATGCACTGTGTCTGCACCCTGGTGTGGGTGGTTGGGGCTGGGTGTTTAGCAGTCCTGGGCTCCCTCTCCCTCCTGCCGGGAGCTGGTGGGAGGTGTGCTCGGGTCCTGCTGGGCCGGGGATTGTATCTTACCCCTTTCACCAGGTGCTGGGCTCTCGCATGTGTGGATGTAGTCTGGCTGTTGTCCTGTGTCTTCTGGTCTCTCTTTTAGGATTAGTTGTATTTGTTGTATTTTCAAAAATATATATGTTTTTGGGAGGATATTCCCACTGTCCTACTCATGCCGCCATGTTGGCTCCACCCGCTGGTTTTTGGAATTTCCGGAATTTGTCGTTGGTGTCAGAAGTGAGGGTGATCTTGTATGAGCAGTTTTCTCTCACCGTATGCTTGGCTAAACTGTTGCAGTGGCATACATTTTAAAACTTTTTTATTAAGGTATTATTCATATACACTCTTATGAAGGTTTCACATGAAAAAACAATGTGGTTACTACATTTACCCATATTATCAAGCCCCACCCATACCCCAATGCAGTCTGCAGTGTCATACTATTGATACTCATTTCAACTTTGATTTTTTCACTTAACCTGGATAATCCTTCATTGTTAGTTCTCAGAGTTCATCTTTTTTCTGGCTTCACTTATTGTGTGGGTGAACCATAGTTTATAATTGCAAAACACTGGAAACAACCTAAATGCCCATTCATAGGACAGTGGTTAGAATAATGTTGCAATGAATAACCTTGTAGTATGTATTTTCATTATTGTTAGAGGCATAGCTTCAGGGTAAATTCCTAAAAGTGGTATTTCTGTATTAAAAGGTAAATATTTTTGTAGTTTTGCTATTACCAAATTCCACTCTAAAAGGATTTTTATCAATTTGTATGCCCACCACCAAAGTATGAAAATGCCTTTTCTCCCGCCAACAGAATGTGTTGTCATAATTTTTGACAATTTTTAAAAATTGGTAATTCACATAATATGTTAATATCAGGTGTACAATAATGATTTGATAGTTCTATACATTGTGAAATGATCACAATAAATCTAACATTCATCACTGTACATATTGCAAAATTTTTTTCTTGTGATGACTTTTATGATTTACTCTTAGCAACTTTCAAATATGCAATACAGTATTATTAACTATGTCCACTGTGCTATACATTTTATCCCCATGATTTATTTATTTTACAACTGGAAGTTTATACCTTTTTGACTCCCTTCACCCAGTTCACCCACCTTCTCATTATCCTTCTTTGTCTATTTTTTTAGTGACGTTGAACGTCTGATGTGTAGGACCATTTAAAAATCTGTATTTGTGAACTGTCTCCTTATGTCCTTCTCCCATTTTTCCATTAGGCTTTTTTTTGTTTATCCCACAGTTTGAGTACTTTATAATGGGGCTATTAGCCCTTCTACCGGGTTTTTCACTTCTGCTATTATTTTTAATTTCCAAGGCCCCTTTATTGTTTTAATTGTTCATTAAAAAAATAATAACATTCTTTTTTCCCCAATGGATGTAATATTTTCTTTTGCTTCTTTGAGGATAGTGTCCAGTTTCTTCTTCCTTACTGTTTTTTTATTGTGGTAAAATATAGTTTACAAAATTTAATATTTTAATCATTTTAGGTATATGGTTCAGTGGCATTAAATACTTTTACACTGTTGAGAAACCATCACCACTGTCCATCTTCAGAACATTTTTCATCTTCCTAAACTGCAACTCTGAACCCCATTAAAGAATAACTCACCTTTCCTTCCCAACTTATTTTTTTAAGTTGACTTTGCAATACACGTCTTTGCTTTTATCTGTTTGTTTTGGTCCTCTTTTTATCCCTCAAAGTCTGGTGATTCTTGGTTATCCTGTTATTTTAAAGAATGATCACTAAGAAGTTCTAATTTCTTTGCTGTGAGTATATCTTTGTGATCTTATTTTTTAGGCTAAAAATGTAACTTTTATTTGTCTTCTTTACAGCTTCATCCAGATCTCATTATGCATCATAAAAATGAAAAAACAGAGGAAAATTTTATGGAGAAAAGGAATCCACTTAGCCTTTTCTGAGAAATGGAATACTGGGTTTCGAGGCTTTAAGAAGTTTTGCTTTCACCAACACTTGTGTGTTCTGAAAGCCAAGTTGGGAAGGACAATTATTTGGAGCAGGCAGTTGAGGCACTTACAGTGCAGAAAGAAGGTCCTTCATATCCAGAAAACGTGGATCCAGGATGAACCTCTTTTTGCTAAGACAGAGTCCAATGTGGCTGCTCAAAATGTTAGTACTTTTTCCTCTAAAGTGAATAGAAAAGACACTAAACACTTCATTTCCTCTTCAAGGACCCTCCTGAAACTCCAAGCAGAGAAGTTGCTGTCATCAGTAAAGAACTCTGATTATGAATACTGTGGAGATAAAAGTTTCTTGAAGGTGGTTGCTGACTTACCAACAAATAGTGTTTTAGGTCAGGCCAGTGGTCACAGACCTAGAACAGAGCTGCAAGCTTCTGACTTTCCCATGAAGTTCAATGGGGAGAACCAAAGTTCATGTGAGAGTGGCACAATTGTGGTCACCTTGAGCAACCATAAGAGAAAGCGCTTTTGTTATGGCTGCTACCAAGGACTGGAGCACCACAGGAATGGGGGATCTCTAATTCCAAAAAAGTTCCAACTTAACCAACACAGAAGAATTAAAGTGTCTCCTCTTATGATGTATGAGAACTTATCCATGATTAGGTTTCGGTACAGGATTCTCAGATCTCAGCACTTCAGAACAAAAAGCAAAATTTGCAAGCTTAAAAAAGCCCAGCGAAGCTGGTTGCAGGTCACTGGGGACCATCAAGAGACCCTTAGGGAGAACGGTGAGGGTGGCAGTTGCAGCCCATTCCCTGCCCCAGAACCTAAAGACCCTTCTTGTCAGCGCCAACAAGTGTACTTCCCAGATATGGACAGCAATGCTGTGGGAAAGGGGAAGAACTCTCATGTGCCTGATGGCCACACTAAAGGAAGCCCTTTCTTGGGCAAGGAGCTTAGTTTAGATGAGGCATTCTCTAACCAACAGAATGGCAGTGCCACATACACCTGGGACCAGTCACCCTGTTCCTCTCCTAAGTGGGAGTGTACAGAACTGATTCGTAACATCCCCCTTCCAGAATATCATTCTAGTAACATGTTTATCTCAGAAACGGAAAGAGAAGTTACGACTCTGGGTCAGGAAAATCGGACAAGTACTGTCAGTGAAAACAGAGTAAAACTGTCAATGTCTGGGGCAGATCAGTCTGTGAGTGGAGTAGACCAGCCAGTGTCCAAAGAGACTGTCCAGAATGAGATCTCATGCCAGATGGATGAGGATGGATCTCTTAAGCAGAACATTCTTAGTTCTAAGTTGTTGGACCACCCTTACTGTAAAAGCCCACTGGAGGCTCCTCTGATGTGCAGTGGGCTCAAACTAGAAAATCAAGTGGGTGGTGGGAAGACCAGTGAAAAAGCATGTCCAGTGGATGATGAACAGCTGTCAGTCTGCCTTTCTGGTATGTACTCTTCCTTTATTCTCTCCCAGTTTCCAGCTTGCACTTGGTGTCCACTGACTTTTCTAGAAGAGTTCTGTTTTTTCCTTCCATACATGGATTTCCTTTTAAGCAATTAGACATTCTTCTTGAAGCCTTTTATATTGCTGTATTACATAGATGTTGCATAATTGAATTCCTGCTTGATGAGCATTTGTGTTGCTTCCAATTTTTTTCTTCTATAAACAGTAGTGCAATGAAATTACTTCTTTATACTTACACCATTATTTTTGTAAGTTAAGTTCCTAGTAGTAAAATTGATGGTGAAAGAATATCAGTACTTAAAATTTTAAGAGAATTGTTATATTATCCTCCAAAAAGTTGAACTGGTTTGCACTTCTTAAACTTTGCCAGTCTTAAAAATCACATAAAAGTTCCTTGTTTTAATTTCCATTTTTAAGTTTGAAGTTTGAACATCTTTTCTATGTTTATTGGCCACTTTTTGTTTGTATATAATTTTCCTTTGCCTGTTTTTCTATTGGATTGTTTGTATTTTATTTAGTATGTGAGAAGTTCCTATGTACCAGGCACTGTGCTAGTTCAAAGAATATAACAACAAACGGAATACACTGGTTTCTACTGTCTTGGGCCTTAGCATTACTGTAGTTTTAAGGATGTTAAGTTAAATTTTGATGATTATAAATGTTGTAAGATTTAAGTTATTCCCTCCAAAAAGATAAAAGTCTTAAGTATCCTGACAGTGTGTATGGTATTTTTGCTTAACATTTTCGATTCTTGCATAGTAAAATTTATTTGTCCTTACTTTATGGCTTCAGGTTTTTGCATTATGCTTTAAAAAATCTTCAAGTCAAAATCTATCTCATGAAGTAAGCTGGTATGGCAGTATCAGTCTTTGACTCATTCCCCTTCTTGCAGTTTATCCAAGCTGCTAAAAGAGTACAAATGTATTTGTACAGACACATTACTTACAGTATTGTCTTGATAGTAAAAAACTGAAGACAGCCAAAACATGTTTCTCTGAAAGTATAAATTATGACACATCCAGGCAATGGTATACTGTGAAGCTGTTACAGAATATATTAAATCTATATTTGATACTGAAAGCTGTCTATATAAAGTGAAAAATGTAGCAAAGCAGAGTGGTGCCATCTTTTGTTAAAAGATACATATGTAGGATGAGTTTATATATGTGGGCACATGCATTTGTATAGGACATGTCTGGACAGATATATCAAATTGTTACGTGTATTTTCTGGGGGCTTAGGAGAGTTACTTTTTGGAGGTTTAAATAATTTTGAACATTTTGTTTTCCCAACCAGTAAGAATATATAAAAAGTTTTCTAACAAAATAAAAAAGAGTCCTAGAAAATCTTAAAAAAAAAACTGTTTATACTGTCCTAGAATAGGGAAAGACAAATTTCCCTACTATGAGGTTAACAGAACCATGATGCATAAACCTAAAAAAAGGTAGCATTTACTTAAAAATACTGATTAACTTAAATAGATGTAGCACTTCCAAAAGCAGTTGATAAATCAAATATGGCAAATAGAAAACTGCAGCATGATGTGAGGAAGTAGGAATTTTTACAGAATTTATACTTAGTGATCTGTAATGTAATTTCATTATTTTAATAGGCTGAAAGAGAAAAATCATGGAATCTCAGCAAGTACTGAAAAACCTATTAATAAAACTCAGGTTCTCTTCTATTTAAGTCTCTTGGAAAAGTAAGAATAAAGAAAATTAATTTCACATAGTAAGGAATATCCGTCAGAAACAACTGCAGTTCCACATGTTTAAGGGGATGAAGTAAGCATATGGAATCTCTTCTTCCTTCTACCATATCCTTAGAAATCACAAAAAATACATTAAAAACATACGTATTTCCTTACTTAGAAACAAGGAGGAGAGTTTTGGTAGATCAGAAACTGAGAACCTCCCACAAGGCAGAAAGTAGAAGGTCCGGAGGGGAACCCCAGTGGCAGAAGAAAGATTAGTAAAGGAAAATGGTACAACACTGTGGGTGTCCCATTCCTGGAGATGGTGGAGTTGGGAGGAAAGGGGAAACCCATGGTAAAAGACTCTATACCTGGGAAATCTCAACAAAAGTATCTCTCCCTGCCTGTGCCACATACCAACAAGGAGAATATCTGCTGTCAAGATGAAATTTTGTTGTTTACCTCCCCAGTTTTACTGACATATAATTGACATTGAGCATTGAAATCCTAAGAACAGGAGATTGGTGGGGAGATACAGGACATTTCCTTTTCCCTCTGCCCCATTACTTGCAACATCTGGCAAGAAAGAGGGAAATCCATTTCCAGAAGGACAGTTTTTGGGGTTCATAATATCCTTCCACTGAAAATAGTTCAAAGCTACTACTGCCCATCAGCGTCCTCCTCCCATGCAGGAAGTTACCCAAGTAGAGGTGAGTCCAGATTTATCACCAGATATCTTAGGAAAGCCAAGATTATGAAAGAGCAGATTCAACAAGTAAAAGAACTAAACCTGAGTCAGGATTAATAGAATTGTACACTTTAAGAGGATGAATTTTGTGGTATGTGAATTTTAGCTCAATAAAGCTGTTTGTAAACAAATGGAAGAGACCAATTTTATAAATCATATTGATGAGACATTTTAAAGCATGATAGAAAACTCATAAGAAATAAAAATGCACCAGAAATTTGAGTTTTAGCAAGTGTGTTCTGGAGAAACTACAGAACAAGGATATTTCAAGGGTTTTACTTGTGACAATATTTAGAGAGCTAAAAACTAACAGATGGTCATCCGTAGGGAATTG